GTCTTTTCTCCATCTAGCACTAGTGTGAACCTAGAACTTGTCTTTTCAAAAGCTCGATACAAGTACTTCTCGAACCCTCTCGAATTGGGGCTTTTAGTTTTCCCCATCAGATTGAACAACTTCCTCTCTAAACATTCCACTTTGTAATTTGTTAAATCCTAGAACGCAAACCCATGGCGATTATCTCTGAGGTCGAAGATGAAAGCAGCAGCAGCCGACCCTCGATGCTACCGTTCAGGGCGACATTTGATCCTTCGAACCCTTTAGGGTTTCTGGGGAAAGTGTTGGACTTTCTCGGCGAACAGAGCGATTTTCTCAAGAAAGACTCCGCGGAAGAGGAGATCGCCGCCGCGGTTAGGGCGGCGAAGGAGAAGCTGAGGAAAGCCGAGAAGAAGCCTGTCGAGAACCCTGTGGAGAAGAAGCCGGAGAAGGAAAGTGTGAAGCCTGTTGAGAAGAAGCCGGAGAAAGAGAGCGTGAAGCCGACTATGGCTGCTTCAAGCTCAAAGCCCACGGAAGCCGAGAAGCCTAAAGAGGAGCAGAACAAGGAAACCGGTCCCATTGGTAAATATCTAATTGTTTCTCATAAATAGATTTGATGAAATTGAATCTAGAAACCTAGCATGGAATTGAGCCTCAGATGTCTGAAAATGTAGTATTGGAGCTTTGATTGACATTGATGATGAATACACCTCGAATTTAGGCTCGAGTTGGCTGATTTATTGAAGGACAATTGGGGAGTTCTTTTCAGTTGTTTGAGATGTTGGTCTTGATCGTGTGTTATACTCTTCGCTCGACTTGTATAAAGAACTATGATATTGGAGAGGGGTTTAGATTATGAATCAGTGAGCTGGATATTTCGATACTTGTTTTTCGAGGTATTAAGCATCATGAGTTTGTAGGTTGAAGGTGGCAATTAAGCTAGTCAGTTCGATGCGGTTTGGGATACGATCAAGTTCACCAGGAGGATCCCCCTCTTTATTTTCTGTTTAGTGTTCACCTAACACCAATTTCAACATCAACCTTATTGGAAAGTTTTGAGTTTTAGAACTTGTTGTGGCTCGAGTGAAAGTCGTAAATGTTATTTCCCGATTCTAGTTTTTGCTCCTCTCCTGTTTTGTAGTAAATCTCTTTGATTACCACTGTTTATCTCGGGTTCTTTTGAGTTAACTTTGTGTCTGTTTCTTTGCAGTTCCTAACCAAGGTAATGGAACTGATCTTGAGGACTATTCATGGGTCCAGACTCTCCAGGAGGTCACAGTTAACATTCCAATCCCTAGTGGCACTAAAGCACGGTCGGTTGTATGTGAGATTAAGAAGAATCGTCTCAAGGTTGGTCTCAAAGGCCAGGATCCAATAATTGATGTAAGTTCCTCTGCTATTGTTTATCATAAATTATTTAAATGTGATCCTAATCCCCTTCTGGTAGTCATGCTAAATTTACAAACTTTCAATAATGATAGGGAGAGCTTTACCGATCTGTGAAGCCTGATGACTGCTACTGGAACATTGGTATATGCCTAAATCCTTTAGTGAAAATTGCTTAAGAAATTTGGACTTCATGGTTGGTAAACAAGATTGCTTATAGATAAATTTCTTTTCATTATACTTTGCAGAGGATCAAAAGGTGATTTCGGTTCTCTTGACTAAGCAAGATCAGATGGAGTGGTGGAAATGCTGTGTGAAAGGTGAACCTGAAATAGATACTCAGAAAGTTGAACCAGAGAGCAGCAAATTAGCTGACCTTGACCCAGAAACTCGCCAGACTGTTGAGAAAATGATGGTACTTTTCCTCTTGGAATCATTTTTTTTTCTCCATTCAAGTTTCTTAAATAGGCTTTTATTGTTTATTTCCTCTGTGTGTGACTCGGAGTGTTATTTGATGTTCTTGCTATCTCCTTAGTTTGATCAAAGGCAAAAGCAGATGGGTCTTCCGACAAGCGATGAGCTACAGAAGCAAGATATTCTCAAGAAATTCATGTCTGCGGTAAACAATACATCCTCCTCAAACATCTCTCGATCTAATTACGTTGTTTTTGATATATACACTGAACGGTTTTCTTCTTTCGATTCTTTACCCGCAGCATCCAGAGATGGACTTCTCAAACGCAAAGATAAACTGATGCTCGTGTTGTCTGGTCTCTCAGTTTTGCGTCTTCACCAGCTTGTTTTGGTTGCATCTCTTAAAAACATGTTTAACTGCTTTTGTTTTGTCAACTTGAAGGCATAGTTTCATCTCTAAATACATGTTCCGGTTACGTTCCTAGCCTCTATGGTTCTCTGGTTTTTGTCGATTGAAACTCATTTAAAATCCGGTTTTCTCTTAAGCATGTGAGTCAGCTCTTAAATCGGACAAAACTTGGTATCGATGTACTTCTCCTCTGTTCGATTACGTCTTGTCATAGTGTGATTCGTCCTTGTCACGTGACCGTGTGGTGGTGACACTTGGGGTCTTGAATTCGTCATGAAGCAGCCGTTTTCGGTAAAAAATATAAACCGGGACCACGAAACACTTTTGTGGTCCAAGCCCGGTTAAGTTGGGAATGTGGTCCACATTGATATTGCACTACAACTTTCTTTCTTCAACTTCACACAAGGAACAATAAAACCCATCAATCTACTTACGTAATTGCAAACCCAACGTCCTTCATTTGTGTAAAGCATCCACTTGAAAGCAAAATATTCTCTCCTCTCATTGTTGAGATGACTCGTGTCAACAATGTTATGCTTGATTTAGGAAGTGATTAGGTTTCTGCGGTTGGAGCGGTACAACCGTAGCAACCGCAAAAAGTTGTGTTGTGTGTGGCACAACCACATTTTGTAAAACAAACAAATGTCTAGCATCATATATGAATTAAAACATGAGAATTAAGATATAAACTAATCTCTAATGATTTAAGACATGTTTAAATAGTATTTCAAAATATTTTGTAATTCAGCGGGTTAGTAAAAACATTTAAATATTTATATTAATAATTTTAAGCGTGCTTATTCGCGTATCAACGCGGATCATAATCTAGTAGAGAATGAAATGGAATGACAAGCATTCCTTATTACTTATGAATGCTAAAAAAAATTAGGAATGAGTTAGGAATGTAATATATGTGCTCATTCATTTCGGTTTATTTCATTTCTAGAATAAACTGAAAAAGTAATATTTTATTATTATATCAATAAGAATAATTAAGTTTGGAACACAATTGTTTTGGTCCTTTCGTTTGGAG